ACCAATAGATTCTGGTGGCTGAGGCTAAAACCAAGTTTTTACTAACTAGTTTTGGGCAGTTGTGCATATCAAAAATCCTTTCAAGAGTACCATTTGGGAAAAATATCAATTAGCACCCCTTTTAAAAGCATGATTTTTGGGATTTGGCCTGTTGAATTTGTGTGATAAAACGTTTGTAATTCTATTCCTGATTCTGTTGAGCAAAGAATACCAGGATAAATATTTGTATATACAGGTTGATGATTATAATAATATAATGATGTAAGAGCATCCGCATCGGTTGATTGGATTAGTGAGGATTAGCAACCTCTTTAATCCCAGGATTAGTGGGGTATAAATTTAACCCCCGCTAGCTCCAAAACTAACCCTAGAGCTAACTTAATCCAACCTCTAATCCCAACTGATATGGTTGGGAGGATTAGATTAGGCAGCTAATCCTGCCTAATCCGCACACCGATGCGGATGCTCTAATGAGATGATAAATTCAAAAAATGAATGAAAAAGGATCAGTACATCTGTTGTAACATGCCCTCTCTATTTATGCTAGTGCTAGCCACTGATGGGTATGCACCGGTCTTTTCTTTCCTCCTCTCCTGTTAAAGCATTGGAGAAAGATGGCTTTCTCTGTTTGCTTTATTTTCTTAATCTTTTACTTTTCAATAGTGATTCTTCTTTGCTTTACTATTGTTACCTCATTAAATTGGGATTTTCTCTTATTTATAGGGGCTTGGTTAAACGACTCCCAAAAAATGGAGAGCCGACTCCCAAGCCCCGGAATCCCCGAAAAATGGGAGTCGAACTCCCAAAACCTTCAACAGGTTTGGGAGTCGACTCCCTAAAAATAATAATAATAAAAAATGAAATTCCCCGGTTGGTATAGGAGTCGATCCTCCAAAACCAACCGGGGCTTGGGGGTCAATGAAACAAAAGACCCCCACAGAAGCAGCCGGGAGGATTCCTCCCAGCCGCTCAGAATAGATTACACACCGATGACCGAGGGGAATCCTCTCGGCCGTTGAGATTCTGCTCTCAGCGTCCGAGGTGATTTCCCCCGGCCGCCGGCCTTCGAGAGTATACACCTCGGCCGTCGAGAGTGTACACTCTCAACGGCCGAGGGAAACCACCTCGGCTGTCGAGAGCGTACACTCTCGACGGCCAAGGGTACACTCCCGGCCATCAAGAGTGTATGCTCTCGACGGCCGACGGGGAAACTACCTCGACCGCCGAGGTGTACACCCTCTCAAAGGCTGTGTACACTCCCAGCCGTCGAGAGTGTACGCTCTTGACGCACCGAGGTGGTTTCCCTCGGCGGTCGAGGTAGTTTCCCGTCGGCCGTC